CATGGATCAATGGTGCGTAATTACGCTTGAATCAAGAAAGAGGTTTAGGCGGATATCAGGGTGTTTTTGATGGTTCTCGGCCAGACCCGGTGAGGCATGGACCATATCCAGCTCTTCCCTTTAAACCCAATAGCGACAGCTTTTAAAGGGCGTAGTTTACACGAAATAGAACGTTGGTTACGTATTGTAACCCCAGATTCTATGAGTGTAAGTGTAGCCCTTTAAAAACTGGGCCTCACTGGCTCTCAAAAGGCTGATGAAAAAAGAGTAAGCCTTTGGGAGTCGAGCTCTGGTCCAGATGCAATTTATAATGGACCGGGTGGGGTCCACACAGCAGGTGGGCGTGGACTAGAAGTTTTCAGTGTTCGGCGTACTGCGCGCAGGTAAACCCAATAGCGACAGCTTTTAAAGGGCTACACTTACACTCATATAATCTGGGGTTATAATACGTAACCAACGGTTTGTCTCTACAGACTGAAATTTTTTGTTCATTCTCTTAGTGAAATAGCTGTAGCTCAGTCAGATTGGACAAAAAGCATCTGTGAACAGGGATTTTCAAGGCTTGCCACTTATTCTTAGATGGATATGATCTGGACTTTGACTGGGTCATATATCTAAACCATTCCATGGTAGTGCTGGATGTTCTGACTCGTCGTCCTGCTGGAAGGTGAACCTTCACCTCAGTCTAAAGTCTTGGACGGGTTTTCTTCCAGGATTGTCTAGTGTTTAGCTCCATCTATCTTCCCACCAACTCTCACCAGCTTCCCTTCTTGATCATTGAAATTATGTTTAGTTACAGTTAGCAAATATTCGGTCAAGGTGTTATGAATGGTTTTATTTAGGGATGCACGATATTATTGGCGTGGTATCGGTATTGGCCGATATTAGCTTTAAAATTCAATATCGGACATTGGCCATTCCATTAAAAAACTCACCGATACAAAAGTGGGCGGAATACTTTGAAGACCTCCTCAATCCCACCGGCACGTCTTCCACTGAGGAAGCGGAGCCTGAGGACTCTGGGTCGGGCCCTCCAATCTCTGGTGCTGAGGTCACCGAGGTGGTTAAAAAGCTCCTCGGTGGCAGGGCCCCGGGGGTGGATGAGATTCGCCCGGAGTTCCTTAAGGCTCTGGATGTTGTAGGGTTGTGTTGGCTTACGCGACTCTGCAATATTGCATGGACATCGGGGGAAGTTCCCCTGGATTGGCAGACCGGGGTGGTGGTCCCCCTATTCAAAAAGGGGGACTGAAGAGTGTGTTCCAACTACAGGGGAATCACGCTCTTAAGCCTCCCTGGTAAGGTCTATTCGGGGGTTCTGGAGAGGAGGGTCCGTCGGATAGTCGAACCTCGGATTCAGGAGGAACAGTGCGATTTTCGTCCTGGCCGTGGAACACTGGACCAGCTCTACACTCTCAGCAGGGTCCTGGAGGGTGCGTGGGAGTTTGCCCAACCAGTCTACATGTGCTTTGTGGACTTGGAGAAGGCGTTCGACCGCGTCCCTCGGGGGGCCCTGTGGGGGGTACTCTGGGAGTATGGGGTACCGGGCCCTTTGATACGGGCTGTTAGGTCCCTGTATGACCGGTGTCAGAGCCTGGTCCGCATCGCCGGCAGTAAGTCGGGCTTGTTCCCGGTGAGAGTTGGACTCCGCCAAGGTTGCCCTTTGTCACCGATTCTGTTCATAACTTTTATGGACAGAATTTCTAGGCGCAACCAAGGTGTTGAAGGGATCCGTTTTGGTGGCCTTAGGATTGCGTCTCTGCTTTTTGCAGATGATGTGGTCTTATTGACTTCATCAGATCGTGATCTACAGCGTTCGCTGGAGCGGTTCGCAGCCGAATGCGATGCGGCCGGGATGAAGATCAGTTCCTCCAAATCCGAGGCCATGGTCTTGAGCCGGAAAAGGGTAGAGTGCCCTCTCCGGGTCAGGGAGGAGGTCCTACCCCAAGTGGAGGAGTTCAAGTATCTTGGGGTCTTGTTCACGAATGAGGGAAAAATGGAGCGTGAGATCGATAGGCGGATAGGTGCAGCGTCTGCAGTGAAGCGGGCGCTGTACAGGTCTGTCGTGGTGAAGAGAGAGCTGAGTCAAAAGGCGAAGCTCTCAATTTACCAATCGATCTACGTTCCCACCCTCATCTATGGTCGCGAGCTTTGGGTTGTGACCAAAAGAATGAGATCTCGGATACAAGCGACCGAAATGAGTTTTCTCCGCAGGGTGTCTGGGCTCTCCCTTAGAGACAGGGTGAGAAGCTCGATCATCCGGGAGGGACTCGGAGTAGAGCCGCTGCTTCTCCACGTCGAGAGGAGCCAGTTGAGGTGGCTTGGGCATCTGTTTAGGATGCCTTCTGGACGCCTCCCTGATGAGGTGTTCCGGACACGTCCCACCGGAAGGAGGCCCAGAGGAAGACCCAGGACACGCTGGAGGGACTATGTTTCTCGGCTGGCCTGGGAACGCCTCGGGATTCCCCCGGAAGAGCTGGCCCAAGTGTCTGGGGAGAGGGAAGACTGGGCCTCCCTACTTAGGCTGCTACCCCCGCGACCCGACCCCGGATAAGCGGAAGAAAATGGATGGATGGATAGCTTTAAAATTCAATATCGGACATTGGCCATTCCATTAAAAAACTCACCGATACAAAAGGCGCTGTTTTTGCTTGCAGCGGCAGCACAACACGATGACGTTGCAGCGGCAGCACAATATGATGACGTTATACGCGCCTATCTGATCTCTGTCTGTCAAGCACAGGAGTGCAGAGGATTCCACACTGCAGCTAGGAACCTGGAACAAGCCTCCAACAAGTGAGACAGCGTCACAGGTGACTAATGCTAATAAATAAAATTCAACACTTTCATTTAATATAAGTTAAAGTGCTATGCATATCATATGGCTGTTAATGAATATAAAGCCCTATTCATATGGGATTAGTTTTACCTAAGGACCAGTGTAATCTCCCCAACATCTGCTGTTTATGTGGCGCATTCACACGGGATAACCAAAGCCTGAGATTTAGCTGAAATTTACAGATGTCTTCTGAATATGATGTTAATGCACTGCGTTGTCACGACCGGGCTGGTCCATTTAATGTGTTTAATGTGCGGTCCCGGACGGTCTCTGGCTTTGATGTGGCTTTATGAATCAGCACAGAGAAAACTAAAGAATGCACAATATAAAATTGTGTTAATCTACTTGTTGAAGAGGAAGCAGGTCCGACTGGCCGGTTTAAGAGGTAAAAAAAAAAGCCACATTAAGCTCAGGTGGACAGCTGTCACTAGCCGTGCGCATGAGTACCCAGTGACAGCTGACCTGCCGGTTGAAAGGAATTTGCAACCTGTCCAGGGTGTCCCCCACCTCTCGCACAATGATGGCTGGACATGGGCACCAGCAGCTCCCACTACACAAAAAGGAAGAAGCAGGTATGGATGGATGGGTCAGTTGCATGTGCGCGTCTCCGCACCTCCCTTCATCCGTGAAGCAGCTCATAAAAGCCGAAGTGAAAAAGAAAAATACATAAAAAATTTAAATAAATAAATTTTAAAAAAGCTGAAGCGAGCTGCGCGTTCATTTAAAATAGCCTTGTTCTATTTTTTTTTTAATGATTTCACTTAAACAAAAACTAAAAAACGCCTCATTACGTATCGGATTCTGTGCATTTCTGTCCAAATCACATAGATGCCTATTCACATTAGATAAGTATTATCACAGGACCTCAGAGTTCAGCAAAGTATAGTAGATAATGTGTGGGGGAATTTTCACTTTACAAATTACTGACATGACTGATTCACATGGGATTAACAACAATCTCCGTAATTATTACAAATCGCATGTGGTCCATGGGTAAAACTAATCCTGTGCGAATAGGGTTTAAGTCGCCAGCTTTTACAGCAGTTGCACAATATTTGTAGCAAATAAGCCTAAATAAGAGGGCTATGTTCTGACAAAGGAACGTATATAAAATATCGGTATCGGCATAGATTATCGGCCAAATAAGTTTTAACATATCGGCATAAAATCAAATATCACACGTCCCTAGTTTTATTATTGTGGCTGAGAACACTTTTCCCTCCTGCCACGAGAACATGCAACTCAACTGCCTTGAATCCTTGAATCTCCAAAGATTCTAGAGGAGTCCCCATAACTGAGCCAGCCTTCTTTATGAGCTTGTTGATCTTTTTGAAGTCTCTTGCTCTGGTGCTGCTACCCCAGCATATGATGGCAGAAGAGATAGCACTCTCTACAACAGACTTATAGAAGATATGCAACATCTTGCTGCAAACACTGAAACGTTTCTGTGTTTATTGAGGTTTGTGAGGGGTTTGTTAGTGAAAGTTGTCCTTTGCACATCCTAAGTGGAACCTTAACGAGAGCTCAATGTGCTTTTGTTATCACTGCTTCTTATCAGCAAAGTTTCAGTCCATCTTCAGTTTCATGTCCTTGACAGATGGCTTTGACTAATGTGTTTGAAATGTCCCACTATCACAGTTGGTGAGGTTAAACCCAAGTGCTGGCAGACACAGGGAGCAGGACATAAAATAAAGATGATTTATATTAATTAACTAAAACAAAAGTCTGACGTGGCAGCAAAACCTACATGAAAACGCAGGAGAAAACACAAGGAGGCACAAGGAGGACCAAGACATCTGACATGTCTGCAGAACAATGAGCCGACGGTAAGGGATGGTTTAAATAACAAGCTGGGTGAGAGTGAAAGTGGAAACACCTGGGCTGAACACTGACTGGGAACAGGTGAGGGTGGCAAGCTGAATGGAAAACTACTGTGGATTCAGGTTTACTGAGGGTAAATGGAATATGGCACAAAGAAATAAAACACAGATCCTCTCATCCACAAACCAACTGAATGTTCGTAGCTGCTTACATCCTTGCATATACAGTATAATCTGATCATATTTCTTAAAGTGAACAAGTCATATCAATTAAATTTTTTTTAAACAAAACACTGAATTAGGTGATTCAAAAATATATAATTTTGAGTCATAAAAAGACTTACTATAATGTCTACATAAGAGTTTGGCCTCATCTCTTGGATGGTGCTGCCCGAGTTGCTGTCTATGCTTGAGCGTGAGCCGTAGATGATGGTGATGGGGATGTCTGACTGCAGCTGGTCCATCCTCTGTAGCATCGGCCTCTTTGCCCAGCCACAGGAACCGGTCATATTCTTAAAAGCTGTTTCTCCACTGTGACCACACAGAGAAACCATTAAGAGACTATATGACAGATGAGGTGAGCGACAAACTTAATAAAGGACAATATTTAATGGAAAACCTCTCATTAACCATATCAAAGTCTGTATTTGTTTTAGGGTAAATAGAGTTTGACAGGAAAACAGAAGAGAAAGGAGCAGAGAGACTCAGACCTTGGGGATTGCACATTGAGGTGATAGATGTACTTTGGCACAGTGTTGTCTGTGAAAATAGAAGAGAACTTCCTCTTGAAATCAGGCCTCAGGGTCTGAACCACAACGGGGCCTGAAGGAGCAACAGATAATACATTTAGGTGCTAAATACAAGCATGTAGTCAATAAGAAACAAGGCTACTTTATTACAGATAGGCATCAGTTTGACCTAGCTTTAAAACCAAACTGACGTCGTTTGGAAATACCTCACATTCATTCTTCTGGATCACTTGGTGCGTCCAGACTTTTGATTGCTACTGTAGACCATTTACAAAGATTTCACTTGTTATCTTTAGGGTCTCTGTCATAAAGTTAACAATTAATCAGATACTGAAGGTTTGCATTTATCCAGTAAATACACTTCTCCCAGACTGTAACAGTTCAAGCTGATATTGGTTGTGTGGTAATTGTGCTGCTTTCTGGCGTCTTGATGCTTTTCTCGTACCCAGAGGTCCTACCAGTCTCAGGCCAGCCAAGGGGTTGAAGGGACTGAACATAGCACCAAGGGCTTTGATCCACACTGGGATGGGGCGGTCAGCTTCCACTGTGTCCTGACACTCAGGGAAACCCCAGGGCTCCACTAGTATGATGTGTTTCACTCTGTGAAGGCAGAAGAAATAAAGTTCTTCTCATGTTAGACTCATAATGTTGTATACTGTGATTGTTGGCAAACAGCATTTTCAAGTGAATCTCCAAAATGTCTCGAAACGTTTCCTGACATTTCATTCCATTGTTACGCAGATGACGGTCAGATTTATATCCGTCCTAAAAAGGTAGATGAGCACTCAATAAATCTGTTTCGTACGTGTCTTGAGGACATAAAGGCCTGGATGGCACTTAACTTTTCAAATGTTAATAAATCCAAAACTGAAGTGATGGGTTTTGGAGGCACTAGTGGGTCCTCCCCTGTTGAGTGTTTCCTTCGCCCAGTGCAGCAAATTACCAGTGAAGAATTTAGGGGCTGAACTAGATCCTGAATTTAAACTGGATCACCAGACCAGGTCAGTTGTTAAAAGAAGTTTTTAATCATTTGAGACAACCAGCCCAAATAAAACCCATCCTTCCACAAAACCATTTTGAGACAGTAATCCATGCCTGTGTTACCAACTGGCTGAAACATTGCAACACACTTTATGTGGGGTTAGTTGGTCTTCCATTGCCCAACTGCAGAGGGTGCAAAATGCTGCTTGAGACTGGCACATGAAAACATGAGCACATTAATCCCAGTTCATCTTCACTCCACTGGCTGCCCGTGCATTTAGGATCCATTTAAAAAGACTTTTATTTGCTTTTAAATCTTTTAACGGCCTTGCCCCACCCTCCCTCTCTGAACTGCTGCCTTCTTACAAACCCACCCGCTCCCAGGCTCATACATCTGCTTTAGATAAATAATACACATTGCATCCTGATGCATGCTCAATAATCCAGGTAGAAAAATCCAAAAAAGTTTAAAAAAAAATAAATATATATATATATATATATATATATATATATATATGTATATATATATATATATATAAACGTTTCGTCTCTCATCCAAGAGACTTCCTCAGTCTGAGGTGCTGTATTCAGCTCAGTCTCTTAAATAGCACCGTCTCAGAGTGGATCAACCAGTTTGCTGCTGACAACCAAAACCAGCTGATCACATGCTCAAGAAGGACCATCAGCCTAACAATGGATCATTAGCACACTGATGGCTGTTTACTATTCACAGAGGGCTGAGTGATACTAGCAATCACAGCATTGTAAGAGGGGGACAGTTGAACCCGGAGGCCTCCACCCCTGTTTAATGATGGACGATTTCTTTTCACAAAGATGGCCTCCTTTACTCCTTTCTCAAACCATCGTTCCTCTCTGTCCAGGATGTGAACATCTTCATCCTTGAAAGAGTGACCGCTGGCCTGGAGATGAGTGTAGACCACAGAATCCTGGCCTGATGATGTTGATCTTCTGTGCTGGGTCATCCTTTTGGCCAGTGGCTGTTTAGTTTCCTCGATGTATGACTGATCACAGCCCTCCTGACACTGAACAGCATACACAACATTACTCTGTTTGTGCCGGGGGACTGGATCTTTGGGATGATCCAGTCTTTGCCGTAATGTATTTTGGGGTTTAAAAGCCACTGGGACGTTATGTTTAGAAAATAAACGTCTCAGTTTCTCTGATACTCCCTCAACATATGGAATGACCAATGGTCTGGGTCTGGGTTCCTCCTTTTCACCTGATGGCTGACTGGAGTCCTGTTTGGGTTTCTTCTCTGCTTTCAGGAAGGCCCAGTTAGGATATCCACATTGCTCTAGAGCCTGTTCTGTGTAGGATTTCTCCTTCTGCCTGGTTCCTGAGTTAGTGGGGATGCTGTCTGCTCTGTGATACAGAGTCCTGATGACTCCTAACTTGTGCTCCAAAGGGTGATGGGAGTCAAACTGCAAATACTGGTCTGTGTGGGTGGGTTTGCGGTACACCTCGGTTTGCAAATGTCCTCTATCAGAGACTGAGACCTCACAGTCCAAGAAAGCCAACTTGCCATTTTTTACATCTTCTCGTGTGAACTTGATATATTTATCCACAGAGTTGATGTGGTAAGTAAAATGTTGGACTTCCTGAGATTTAATTTTAACCAAGGTGTCGTCAACATACCTGAACCAATGACTTGGTGGTGTCCCTGAAAAGGACGTCAAGGCTCTCTTTTCTACCTCCTCCATGTACAGGTTGGCAACAATAGGAGAAACTGGAGACCCCATAGCACACCCATGTTTCTGCCTATAATATTGCTCCCCATATGTGAAGTAGGTTGACTGCAGGCACAGTTTCAAGAGTTGATACAGTTGTTCTATGGAAAGCGTGGTCCTGCTGCTCAGAGTGGTGTCTGATTTTAATCTTAAACTGACCACCTCTACTGCATCATCATCAGGAATGCACATAAAGAGTGATGTGACATCAAAAGAGACCATTGTTTCATCAGTCTCCATGATGACATCCCTCACCTTATCCACAAAGTCCATGGTGTTCTGTATGTGGTGTTCTGAGCTGCCAACTAAATGGATGAGTACAGACGCCAGATATTTGGAAACATTGTAAGTGACAGAGTTAATCATGCTAACAATAGGTCTTAAAGGTACACCTTGTTTGTGGATTTTAGGTAAACCATACAGACTAGGTGTGGCCTCCCCTGGGTACAGTCTGTGGTACAGAATACGGTCAATAGCCTTGTCCTGCTCCAAATTTTTCAGGCAATCTATTAACTTCTTCTTGTAACCACTTCCTGGATCTCTTTTCAGAGGTTCATAAGTGGTTAAGTCACTAAGGAGTGTCATAACTTTCTCATGATAGTCTTTCTGGTTCAAAATCACTGTGCACCTTCCTTTGTCTGCTGGGAGAATTTTGATGTTTTTGTCCTTGCTAAGAGTGGTGAGTGCGTCCCTCTCCTCTCTACTGATGTTGGAAGGTGGTGGTTTGGCATTGCTGAGGCAGGATGAAACTTTGATTCTGAGCTGTTCTGCTTCACCCTCTTTCATTTTGTTGTTGCGGATGGCTGATTCTGTGGCTGTGATCATCTCCACCAGAGGAATTCTACTTGGTGCAACTGCAAAGTTCAGTCCCCTGGCAAGAATCTCTGTCTCTGGCTGGGTGAGCTGTCTGTCAGATAAATTCTTCACCCACTTTTCTGTCTCCCTGGCATGTAATTGACTACTGGAGTGTTGTCCTACACTGAATGTGTTGTTATTGGAATAGTGATGGTGTTGATGAGTTATTAGTAAGTTAAACTTGTTTCGTTGTCGAGTCTTGGACTTGACATGCTGTGCTAAGCGTGCCTGATCTGTACAGTCCAACACTTGCTGAAGTGTGGTCTGATCTAGACACATAGTTAGTTTATGTGCTCTTCTTTGGCCTTCAATGCCTCAATAGTAAAATTGGTCTGTCTCACCCGTTCATTCAGCAGCTGGGTCTGTGCCTTCTGAAGGATCTTGCTTGCCCGGTGCCCGCTGACAGAAAATTTTAGTTCCAGGCTCTTGGGAATGATGCCACTTTGTCGACATCTGAGGTTGAATCGCAAGTGGTTCCTGGGTGGGTTTGCTGTTCAGTGTCAGGAGGGCTGTGATCAGTCTTACATAGGAGAAACTAAACAGCCACTGGCCAAAAGGATGGCCCAGCACAGAAGATCAACATCATCAGGCCAGGACTCTGCGGTCTACACTCATCTCCAGGCCAGCGGTCACTCTTTCAGGGATGAAGATGTTCACATCCTGGACAGAGAGGAACGATGGTTTGAGAAAGGAGTAAAGGAGGCCATCTTTGTGAAAAGAAATCGTCCATCATTAAACAGGGGTGGAGGCCTCTATGTTCATATGTCCCCCTCTTACAATGCTGTTATTGCTAGTATCACTCAACCCCCTGTGAATAATAAACAGCCATCAGTGTGTTAATGATCCATTGTTAGGCTGATGGTCCTTCTTGACCATGTGAGCAGCTGGTTTTGGTTGTCAGCAGCAAACTGGTTGATCCACTCTGAGAAGGTGCTATTTAAGAGACTGAGCTGAATACAGCACCTCAGACTGAGGAAGTCTTTCAGATGAAAGACAAAATGTTTCTACATTTTGTTGTTTTGTTTTTTTGAATGTCCAGAGGACCAGATTTAACTTTTTTGGATTTTTCTACCTGGATTATTGAGCACGCATCAGGAAATATAGATTACTGTTTAGAACCATTTTGATCAGCTTTTGTTATTGCCAATAATTTTTAATTACCGGTAGTTTATTTTTGTTCCTCACTCCTGTGGCCTGATCATTTCATTTCACCTTTATTTAACTAGGCATAAATAGTGAGAACAGATTCTTATTTACAGTATTGACCTGGCAGAACCAACTTGTTGGCTCAAGGGAGGGAAAACAGTACAGTTAGGCAAAACTATAAAACACAATAGTCAATAACAAATGACAACATTACTAAACATGAAAACATTTGCAAGTATCTTTAAAAACGGCTTTTCAACAATTTTTAAATCAAGAACCTGAGACAAGTGAGGCCAGACTCAAAGTTTTATGATGTAGATTCAGTCACATGGAGCAGATGAGGTAAAGTTAGACTTGGTCTTTAGAGTTGTTAACCAAAAATACTGAGAGGATCAGTTCTGTTCTAGTGATCTGTTATAGTTTGAAACCAGTGCTAGTTGCAGTAGATTAGTTAAATATGGAGGTGAATAA